CTTTTTTCTAAATACTTAGAGCTTTTATTCCCTTTGTATTTAACCACAATTCTAACCTGTTTCCCCATACTACCATTTCAAACTTTTCCTTCTTCTTTTAAAGCATATAGACATGAAACTCAAGATGCAAGCTGATATCTACAAGGGAGCTTTTCTTTACCAGCCTTATTCCTAACACTTTTTGCCAAGACAAAATTGAAAATTGATATGCAAAGGCCTCACAACTCTCAAGATAGTGTTTAAGCTCAAAAAGAGGTTTGGTTAAGGGAGTTGATTAACTGTTCCATAAGAATGAGGATCAGTTATTTGGATCAACAAGAGTGGTGAAAAGGAAAAAGATGATCCAAATATGTTTATGGTATCCATAAATTCACTTTTCAATGCACAAACATGATAATTAAAAATTCAGATTAAGGTTCAAGTTGATAGAGTTGATTATCAAGGAACAAATGCTTTCAGTATGAGATAAGAGCATCAAATTTACCAATTCAAGCATGGTTCAGCCTTAACTTCGAACATTCTCATGATGCATCAAACAACTAACCACATAAACACTGAAATCATCTCTAAACACTAAGTATTTTACAAGGAGAATTCTTCATTATTCCCTATGCAAATTCAATGCATCCTATATGCAAACACTAGACTCAATATTAAGCAAATGAAATGCAACTATATCCTTTCTTTTTGCCGAGACCTTGGCTCATAAGATGAAGCTCTTGAAGTTTCCCAAGGTGCCCACTGATCAGTTTGTTGGACTTGGAAGGAGTGTCTTCCTTGGGGCATCCAAACTGCTTCCACCTCTTCATTAGATTCTGCTTGTGGCATCTGCTCTTCATAGTGGGAAGTGTACTCGTGACCATGGCTTTGTTGGGAAGCTCAACGAATGTAGAATGCATGCAAGCAGGAATGAATTAAAACTGTCTTAAACTCAAAACTCAATGCTATAACTAATCAATTCTCATTGCAGAAGTTGTTTATGCCTAATTCACAGATTTCCAAATCTCTTTGCAAATTCTAATATGTTAAGCAAGCATTAAAAATCAGGTTTCGATTGTTCACAAAACTCCTAACTTAAATCTCTTTGCAAATAGGCGTTTTGCTCATCTAATACTAGTTCAGGTGATTAACAATGTTCTCACATCTATTAAACAACCGAGGGTTTTCAAGTTTCCAGGTGACTAGTCAAAGAAATCGGTTTTGAATGCAAGCACAAATGAAGAACCAATAGATATTCCTAACAATTTAGCGATTCTACAAACTCTTCATCAACCTTTGAAAAGCCCTAACTTAAGTAACAGATTACTCAGACATGATCGTGAAGACACAAAACATAACTGAATAAAACTGCATTAAAAGAGATAGAGTAATAGATGAAGGGGTTCGAAATCTTCTCTAAAAGAGTACATGATCTGTCTCCCCAAAAGCTCTGAATAAATCTCTCTCTAAAGCTCTCTGAATTCTAAATCTAAGATAAAATCTAACAATGGCTGAAAACCTAATATATACAAGCTAAAACCTGAGCTGGGGTCTTCTTGCAAATAGTGGAAGTTCTATGCCAAAAGTACAATTTCTCCTCCATCTTTTAAAATAAGTCGCGACTCCTCTTCAGGTACGGGTGACGAGCGTCACCCTTGAGTGGTGACAATCGTCACCAATACCCATATAACGCCTCCGAGTTGCTAACTTCGTGGTTGATTCTTGGAATGCTCCAAAAAACTCCAAAATCTCCAATTATGCTCCAGACATGCTATAACCTGCAAAGACTCTATTAGGACTCTAAAAAGACCAAAAAGACTCAATAATAAAGACTTATACCATGGTTAAAAATTATAAAAACCATGATATATCACTTATTTCCATCGAGAAAAAGCTCCAATCTCACTCTCTCTATGTTTCATTAACCATACATTCTCCTGGCCAAACAGCAGACGGATATCACGATCCTCGGATGGGATATCCAAGCCAAGTCACCACCACTAAATCCACTCTCCCAAATACATGAGGGCATGATCAAATTTGAGCGTGATGGGAATTCTCTTCCTGTTCTCCTAGAGGTCCAACCCATTTTTTTCTAGTGCATGAAAAGTCCAGACAGATGTAGATCCCAAGACTATATACTGCTCATCCTACAGAAAACCAAAATTTGGAGATTCAGCTTTATTACTTGGATGATCATATATCCCTTATAAGCAATATGCAATTTGCTCTGGAAGAGTAGGTATTCAAGACTCCGCAATTTATATAAATGTGTAAATATAATGCAATTGTGGCAAACACATGCACTTATTATATTTGATTTGGTATCAATCTTCTCTTAGTTTGTAGCGCAATATATGAATGATTTTATGGTTCTAAACCCATAATAATCAAATAATTGAAACGCGCGGTAAAAGTTAGGGTGTGTGACTCGTGTGATGTATCAAAGTAAAAGATTTAGAAGACATCATCATAATTGTTGAATTTTCTTTCACTTTGAAACAGTAAAACCAATCACAAAGGAAAAAGTAGAGAAATATTTCCTGCAATTTCTGTCTGGATTCTTTTGTCGGGTTCTGTTGTATGAGAACCTTTTTCCATTTCTCTTTTGGATTTTAGTATTTAGTCTTTTCCTCTTTTCTTCTATTCTTCTATTGAGTAATCCAATAAATTGAGATATAGCTCCCTCATTTATTTTCCTCTCTAACACAAACACTCTAAAATCTACGAGAGTCATAAGTATTTATAGGAAAGCAAGTTGTGATATGGTGGTAGGGCCCTTTTAATGGGTCTTCTTTTCACTAGATTCCATCATATAAAGAGAAATTGGAGGAAGCTTAACAAAATCAAACCACCCTAATACATTGGAACTAACTAAATAGTGAATACAAAAATGGGCAAAGTGTTGACATTACTTGTGCTCCGACTACTCATGAATCTCTTACTTATCGGTTGGCTTTCTCTCTGGATTATAAAACCCACCACTCTATGGATACAATCTTGGCGTCAAGCTGAAGATACCATCAAACATACTTTCTTCGGCTATTATGGTAAGTTGTTAACAATCTTCTCTCTTATTTTCACTTCTATATGTCTCCGAGTTGTCCATTTATGACGACTCTTCAGGTCTCAACTTTGCCGTATTCTCATTCCCTCCTATTGCTCTTTCTATAATTGGGCTCATTTACTTGAGTTTACTGCCGCAAAATCGTCTAACAAGGTAATATAATCTCCAGTCTTTTTAATCACAGCTAAAAGTAAGTAAACATCAAAAAAAATTGTTGATTGGTTTTGTCTACTTTCTTACAATAATAAGCAGCAGAGGAGGGAGAAGTGTAGCTATTACTGTCACAAGACCAGCCGTTATCAATAGCTTCATTGGAATTGTGTCTTGTTTCGAGATCTGTGCTCTTCTTTTGTTCTTACTCTTTCTATCTTGGACCTTCTATTCTCGCGTATCTAACGATCTCAAGAAGCTGACGCCCCTCAAAACCATGAATCTTGACTTGTAAAATTTCTCTGAAACTTCAAAATCTAGTGCCTTTCTATATATAGCTGTTGACTCCTTATGTTTTCAGATGGCAGCTTAAGTAGTTTAGAGTTGCAACAAGATTCGGGCTATTAGCATAAGCATGTCTCTCTCTGCTTCTTTTCCCTGTCTTGAGGGGACTATCAAATGTTCCGGTTACTCCACATTCAGTTTGCAGCGTCTGTAAGATATAATGTATGGCTCGGGACCGGGTTGATCTTCTTTGCTTTTGTTCATGGTGGAAGTGCTCTGTTCATATGGACTATTACTCATCACATTAAAGAAGATGTAAATATAATAAAATCAATTATTTATAACAACGTTTTTTTTGTTTTGTTTTTGCTAAAATAATTGGCAAAGAAACAAAACATGAAAATCGATAAATATAGGGTTTTAATAAATTCGTTATGTAACAATCTTGAATAATTCATGAGTCTTTCTTGTGGTAAAAAAAAATAACAGATTTGGCAATGGCAGAGAACGGGTCGGGTATATCTAGCTGGAGTGATCAGTTTTGTAACAGGATTACTTATGTGGATCACATCACTTCCTTCAATACGAAGGAAAAAATTTGAAGTTTTCTACTACACACACCATTAGTATATACTCTTTCTTGTATCTTTCTTGTTTCATGCTAGTGATCGTCACTTCTACTGGATTCTCCCTGGAGTCTTTCTCTTTGGTATAGACAAGATACTTCGAATTGTTCAATCGCGATCCGAAAGCTGCATTATTTCCGCCCGCCTTGTAAAGCCATTGAGCTAGTCTTGCCAAAGGACCCAAGTAAGAAAGCACATTTTTTAGTGGCACCAAACAATTTTTACCGTTGTTGTTAATAAGTCTTAATAATTTATGTGTGTAATTAAAAAATTAACAACGATTTTCTATATATTATATATAATATATATACTACATTTTGGCTATTAATGAAAATGATGTATTTTTAAAAATATAAGAAGATACTTACGAATGTTCATTTTAATGATTTAATAAAAATGATCATGTAATTTTTCAAGAAGGTAAAATGATCATTTAATTTTTCAACTTTTTGCAATTTTTTAGACAAATTCTCCAAATTTTAAATTGACAAAATAATTCGTCAAGTTTGCTGTATAAACTATCATTGGAAAATAAATATGCCAATTTGAAACACTTCAGGAATTCAGTGAAAGTATTTCCTTTCTTTCTGTATTTAAAGATTATACATATATAAAGGATTTGATTTATGCTGTCCAAAAAAAGAATTAAAGGATTTGCTTTATTTTGGTGATTTGTTTTGGTATACTGCAGGGCTTAACTACGTCCATCGAGTTTTATATTCGTGAACATTCCGCTGATCTCGCAGTTTCAATGGCATCCGTTTAGTATTACAACGAGCTCGAGTGTAGACAAACACACAATGTATGTAATAATGAAATGTGAAGGGGAATGGACAAAATCTGTTTATAACAATGTAGAAGAAGCTGCAATTACAGATAAGGAGATTAACAACATGACCGTACGAGTAGAAGGTCCTTATGGACCTGCTTCGGCCGATTTCCTCAGGTTACTAAAATACTCTCTGCATCAGCTTAATTTTCGAAAAAAAATCTTAAACCTGAAAGTATTGAGTTTGTTTGGTAGGTATGATACTCTGTTTCTTGTAGCGGGAGGAATCGGAATTACGCCGTTTCTAAGCATTTTGCAAGAACTCGCGTGTGAAAACCGACTCAAATCTCCCAAGAGAGTGCAGCTCGTGTTTGCGGTGAGGACATTCCAAGAGATTGACTTGTTGATTCCAGTGTCATCTATACTCTTTAATTCAATCCACAACTTAAAACTCAAGTTACAAGTTTTTGTCACCCAAGAGAAAAAGCATTCCAATGGAACAACAACATTGCAAGAGATCTTGGCTCAATCCCAAGTTCAGTCTATTCACTTTGGAACCGACGCGGATTATTCAAGATTCGCAATTCTTGGCCCTGACACTTTCAGATGCCTTGCTACATTGGTCCTTATAACTGTGCTTACGTTTCTCGGTTTGCTTATCGGTTTAGGTCATTTCTTTATACCTTCTGAACACAAGAAGCATTCACATTCTATGAAAGTAGCTGCTTCAGGAGCAATGAAGACAGATAAAGAAAAAGTTCCTTCGTGGGTTCCAGATTTGGTTATCATTGTCTCTTACTTTATAGCTATAACAATCGGAGGTTTAGATTCAATTATTCTACAGTGGAGACGACAAAACAGAGAAGCACCAAGAACGTCTAAAGACGAAGTAATACCACAGGAAAGAAACTTCACTGAATTAATACCAATTGCTCATGTAGACGAACATGAGATACATATCGGAGAAAGGCCGAAATTCGAAGGTATTGATTTATTAAAACAATTCAATCTTTTGAGTTATATATTTTTTTTTTCATAGGTTTTGTGGTAATTTTCTGGTAATTTTCTCTAACACAGATATACTGTCGGAGTTTGAGAAGAACTTGAGAGGATGGTCGAGTATAGGAGTTTTGCTATGTGGACCCGAGTCAATGATAGAGGCTGTGGCATCAATTTGTCGCCGAAGGTCTCAGTGTTTTGGAATAGAGGATTCAACAAGCCACAAGAAGATGAAACTCAATTTTCATTCTCTTAATTTCAACCTCTAATCTGAAAATGTTTTTGTAAGGAATGGTATTGTATTTTTACGTGTAGTTTCTATCTTACATATGTATTAACTAGCTGGTTGGCCTGCACATGGCACGGGCATACAAATGTTGAATAATTTTATTTATCCAACTAATTCAAATACAATAAAAAAAAGTTATGAAAATATATTATTAAACTTTCTCAGAATTTTAATCTTGATAATCCATACAATTTTAAGATGATTTAAATCAGAGTCAGTAATTATATAAGCAGTACACAAACTATGAATAGTAGCATAAATAAATTGAGTCATATTCGAAGTCTAAAACAAAGTAAAGAATAATTTTTAAGTTAATCAAGATTTCAAAGGTTTTTTAAGAGAAAACACAAGTACGACTGTAAATATGTTAGAACAGCAGAGAAACTCCACTCACTTAATCATTCAAATAAAAATTTTAGTTTCAATCCACCTACTTAATCATTCAAGAAGGCTCTAAAAAATTAAGAACCTATCATATTATTCTAAATCAATCGACTGAAATAATGCTTTGAGCATCGAGTTTTATAATTTCTTTTCTCCGCCACCTCTCTCTCTCTCTCTCTCTCTCTCTCTATTCTCCCTCTCTTTATCTATCTCCTCCATCTATATGTCTCTCTTTTTCTCTCTCCTTCTCCCCATTGTTCTTATATTCGAAATAGATCACTCTTTATCTCGCATGCTTGCTCTTAATACTCAACACATACAGCCTGAAGGGACAAGGCTAGAGAACATCATATATTTTAGAACTAAAATAATCGCTTTGACTCTTTCTAAAATTTGAAACCCTAACAACGATCACCTGGCCATCAAATATGTTAAGAATATTCAACCTAAACTGCATCAATAATTCATGGATTCGGTCTTTTGAAGAAGGAATGACACAAGATCAAAGGTGGTTAATCTTGTTGATGCACTGATGGAGCCGTATGATGGTTGTTCAACGCTTTCAAAACGACTAAGGGGTGAATGATGATGAAGTGAACGAGTGTGGGATCAAAGAGTGGTTGTTCAAAACTTCTCTATTGACCAAGGGATGATGATGAAATGATGATAATGGATCGAAGCCGCCACAAAGTTTTATGATTCTAAACTTTGATAAGACAAACAAAACTCACTAAACAATGAATCTCTCAAGTGTTTAAGAAGTTTCAAGTGATTTTTCTATAAGAAAAACTCAGGTATTTTTATTGATCAAAGGTAAAGAATACAATGCTGTGAGAGGGGACTTTATAATTAGTCGAAACAGTTGTTGCCCTTCTTCGGGTCTTTGAAGAAAATTACATTGATGAAAACACAAATGATTGAAAGCAAATTAAAACTAATTGGCGAAACAAATGCCTTTGACTACTAATGTAAATTAAGAAAATCATCACTTAAACACAAAAGCAATCTTGTTTTTATTAGTAAATACCCGAAGGGAATTGAAATAAAATCAGTACATACCTTGGTTAGACTTGATTTGCTTGGTTTAGTTGAAGTGCTGCGTTTCAAGTCCTCCTTGTACTGGTGCGTTTTGATCTTTCAGCTAAGTGACGTGATGCTAAATAAGGTAACTTCACCCATCCCTTGAATCATTGGCCATTCTTTGATATAAGATAGGCTTTTGATGCTTGGACCGTCCTTGGTGGGTATATCTTGCATTTGGCGCTCCTTTTGTGTTTGAATGATGCCGTGTTCTTCAAGCTCTTCCTTGACATGAGTCACCCCATCATGGTTAACCTGTTCTTTATGTGGTAAAGGTGTAAGGTCTAATGGAGCTATTGGGCTGAATCCATAAACAATCTCAAACAGTGAGAGCTTAGTAGCCGAGTGGGGAACTCGGTTATATGCAAATTCAATAAATGGTAAACAATCAAGCCAGTTTCTCAAATTTTTACCAACCGTGGCCCTTAAAAGGGTTGAGAGAGTGCGGTTAACAGCTTCTGTTTGGCCGTCAATTTGAGGGTGGCAAGTGGTTGAGAATAGAAGCTTTGTTCCCAGCTTCCTCCATAATGTCCTCTAGAAAGGGCTTAAGAATTTTGTATCTCTATCTGAAACAATAGTTCTTGTCAGCCCATGAATCCTCACCACTTATTTAAAGAATAGATCAGAAACTTGTGTAGCATCATTAGTTTTGGCACAAGGGATTAAATGCGCCATTTTGGAAAACCTATCTACTACTACAAAGATTGAATTCTTGTTTCTGATATTTGGTAGACCTAGAACAACATCCATAGAAATATCTACCTATGGTAGGTTAGGAATAGGTAAAAGAATATATAAGCCATGAGGGTGTAACCTGGATTTTGCCTTGAGACAAACTATGCATTTAGAGCAAAACCACTCTATGTCACGCTTGAGGTGAGGCCAGTAGAAGTGTTCAATGACGACATTTAGTATTTTATCAACTCAAAAATGGCCCATTAGTCCTCTTCCATGTGCTTCTCTCATGATTAGCTCACGCATTGAGCTTTGGGGAATGCATAGCCTCTTGTCTTTGAATAAAAACCCCTCATGTTGGTAGAATGAACCGGTTGCTCCTTTGCTGTTTTGTTGATATAATTCACCAAAATCTGGATCTTCTTTGTATAGGTCTTTGATATGCTCAAATCCCATGATTTTTGCTTCCATTGTAGCGATTAAGGCATGTCTTCTGGATAGTGCATCAGCTACAACATTCTCTTTTCCCTTTTTATATTTGATGATATATGGAAATGTCTCCAAAAATTCAAGCCATCTAGCGTGTCTTTTCTTCAGTGTGGTTTGGCCTCTCAAATATTTTAGAGTTTCATGATCTGTATGAATAACAAACTCTTTAGCTAAAAGATAATGTTGCCAAGTTTCTAGTGATCTTACCAGGGCATATAACTCTTTGTCATAAGTTGGATAGTTAAGAGCAGCTCCTTTGAGTTTCTCACTGAAATAGGCCACTGGTTTTCCTCCTCGTGTAAGTACAGCGTCAATTCCTGTTCCTGAAGCATCACACTCAACCTCAAAAGTTTTGTTAAAATTAAGCAAAACTAAAATAGGGGAATGTGTAAGGCTGTCTTTAAGCTTCTGGAAAGGTTTCTCTTGTTCTTCTCCCCATGAGAATGCTACATTCTTCTTAATCACTGATGTCATAGGGGCGGCTATGGTGCTAAAGTCTTTGAAAAATCTCCTATAGAAGCTGGCTAAGTCGTGGAAGCTTCGGATATGTCCAATGGTGGTGGGAGTAGGCCAGTCTTGTATCGCCTTTATCTTCTCCTCATCTACTTTAAGTCCCTGTGAACTTACAACAAAACCTAAAAACACTACTTGATCAGTGCAAAAGGCACACTTCTTTAGGTTTGCATATAATCCTTCCAGCCTTAGAGTTTCTAATACTTTCTCAAGATGCTCAATATGATCAGTTAAGTTTGAGCTATATATTAAAATATCATCGAAATATACCACTACAAACTTACAGATATACTCTCGTAGCACATGATTCATGAGGCGCATGAAAGTACTAGGGGCGTTGGTGAGTCCAAATGGCATAACTAGCCACTCATATAGACCCCTCTTGGTCTTAAAAGCAGTTTTCCACTCATCGCCCTCCTTCATTCTCACTTGATGGTACCCACTTTTCAAGTCAATCTTGGAAAATATAGTGGCACCACTTAACTCATCGAGCATGTCATCTAGCCATGGAATAGGGTGGCAGTATTTGACCTTGATGTTGTTTATTGCCCTACAATCCACACACATCCTCCATGTACCGTCTTTCTTAGGTACTAGTAGGACCGGGACAGCGCAAGAACTTAAACTTTCTCGGATATATCCCTTTGACAGGAACTCTTGAACTTGTTTCTCCAACTCCTTTGCTTCTTCGGGGTTAACTCGGTAAGCTGGCCTATTGGGTAGTGGAGCTCCGGGAATGAGGTCTATCGGATGCTCTATCTCTCTGATGGGAGGTAGTCCGGCTGGTATATCCTCGGGGAAGACATCTTTGAAACCTTTTAGCAGCTTAGAAATCTCTACGGGTAGCTCTTTCTCTTCTTGTCCTGAAAATAAACTTTCTCTAAAGACCATTAGTAGCACCTGTGTTTTATTATTTAAGACTTTAAAAACATCTCTAGATGATATATAGAGATTAGTTTTACTTAGCTTATATCCTTTGTCCATGGCTTTTTGTAAGTTAAAGACTTCTTGTGGGGTAAGAGGGGCAAGGTTGTGCTTGCGTTTGTTGTGAACAAAACTGTAGTAGTTGGTACGCCCGTTGTGTACTGCTTCTTTGTCAAACTGCCATGGTCTCCCGAGCAGTAGATGACCTGCTTGCATTGGTACTACATCGCACAACACCTGATCGGAGTATTTCCCAATACTGAATGGAACGGTGACCTGCTCTCCAATTTTCAGCTCCGTCTCATCATTAAGCCATTTGAGTTTGTATGGTCTCGGGTGCTTTGTTTTCTTGAGACCTAGCTTATTCACCAAGTATGTACTAGCAACATTAGTACAAGACCCTCCATCTATAATTAGACTACATACCTTAGACAACGTGAGTGAAAAATGTTCTCTCTTTGCATCATTTCAGGAGCAACAAAGGTACTAAGGACTCTTCTGGTGACAAGTATCTCTCCCTCATCAGGGTAATCGGTGACTTCTTCTTCAAACTCAGAAGGGTTGAGTTCTGCTTCATCTTGAGACTCGTATTCACCATCTTCTTTTAGCAGCATAACTCGTTGATTAGGGCAGTCACGAGCATAGTGTCCTCTCCCTTGACACTTGAAAGAAGTAACGTCCCTGGCACGTTGGTTTTGAGGCTTGCTTGTCTCGGCTGTAGCTCCTTTAGATGTTTCCACCAATGGTTTCTTGAACCTAGATGTTGACTCCGGTGCTTTGCCTTTGTCTACTCCTCTCGGCTGAGAGCTCCAAGCTGGTTTGGCACGAGCAGTAGAGGCTGATTTCCTCTTGACATGTTGTTCTGCTTGCACGACTAAGTGTAGAAATTCGTCAAGATCTCGATAATTCATTCTT